AATTTTTTTCAGCTCTTAGTGAACCGATTTTTTTCAGCGACACGTCAAATGATTACAACTCATATCTAGTTAAAGACAAGACTCTCGAAAATTTTATAATTTACTCTTTATCGAATCAAAGTTTATTTAGTTCACATTTTCCATATCGTAAGTTAAAATCTTTCATTTCTAATGTTTTTAAAATATTTATTATACTGTAATATATATTTTTTTATACATACATACTCATTTTTTGCTGATTAGAAATAAGATAAAAAATTAGAAATGATTGAAAAAGTCTAATTGCAGATTTGAAAATAACGCAAAAAGTTGATATAGACATTTTTTTTGAATAATAATTTTGATTATGATTTTGATGTTTCTTATAGACGAGTCAAAAAAATTTTTTTTTAAAAATCATTGTATCAAGTAATTCAAATTTTTATACACGTTTGGTATAGAAGTAATAAAATATACTACTAATCAGGATATAATTAAGGAAATAGGAGTTTATATTGCTTTTGTAATTTTACACCAATTTCTTAGAATTAACCACTTGGTTAGACTACAATAGATAGTATTATTATCTTAAATGTATGCTATGTTCAGTAACTGATATAAATAGTTTTCATATATTATAATTATAAGTCTTAAAAATTATAACCAGAATGTAATTAAAAAAATATGAATTGATGTTGCTTTTGAAATAAACCCATAATCTCTTCTTTGAGTTAACCACAAATTTGAATCGAAGCATTTCTTATAATAATGATTTAAATCACCATTATAAGAATCTAAATTAAATTAAATAAAAATTTTAACTTATTTTAAATATTTTACCTCTTAAGTTAAAAGCCTTTGAATTTTTGAACTATCTTAAATTGTCCTTATCATTTCCCTTATCAATTTTATTTTATTTATTATTATATTGTATTATATTATTTATAATATATTATATTATTTATTATTATTTTATTTTCCTTATCAATTTCAAGAGAGCTAATTACAATAGTATTCGGCAATTTATCTCTTCTTACGACTGGTATAACACATTTCTCCCTCACAATGCTAACACCGCTACTAATATATTTTATGATGCTCTGCATAAATCTATTCTTGATTTTGTTCCTCAATGTAGATTTTATGAACCTACTTATCCTCCTTGGTTTAGTGCTGAGCTCAAAATAATACTGCGTCAAAAAAGGGAAGCTCATGCTAAGTTTAAGTCCTCTTCCAACATGTCATGCTATAAAGAATTTTCATTTCTTCGTCCCAAATTTAAATATACTTCTAAAAAATGCTATCGTGAACACATTAGTAATGCTGAAAAACTACTCAAAGATAAACCGTATGAATTTTGGAAATATGTTAATAGCAAACGGTCATCTTGTAATATACCTAAAATTTTGTCCTACAACGACGTCTGCTCTTCCGATGAGCTTACGTCTGCAAATCTATTTTCTGACTTCTTTTCTTCGGTTTACAGTGCTAAAAAAAATAATGTCTTAATTGACCAACTAGATATTCCCACCTTTGACCTTTCTAACAACGTATAGTTCAGTGTTGATGNCCTAACAACGTATACTTCAGTGTTGATGATGTTTACCATAAATTATCAAACCTACGAGGTGTTGGTTCTGTGGGTCCAGATGGCTTATCTGGTACATTTTTATATGAACTAAGGGAATTATTGGCATATCCTCTATGGATCTTATTTAGGCGTTCCTTAGACGAAGGATCATTTCCATCTATGCTTAAACTTAGTTCCATTACACCGGTATTCAAGACGGACTCCCCTAGTCTTATTTCAAATTACCACCCTATAGCTGTACAGTCCCACATATCAAAAATATTTGAATTGCTTATACTTAATGGAATACAAAGACCTGTTAATAACATTTTAATGGAAGAACAGCATGGCTTTCGCCCGGGTCGCTCATCTTCCACCTGTAATCTTGTGTTCACCAACTATATTTTTAATGCTTTCCAAAATCAATTACAAGTAGATGTTATATACAATGATTTCAGTAAAGCATTTGACTCTGTGGATCATACGACCCTTATTACTGTTCTTAGACAATATGGTTTTGGTGAACCACTACTTTCTTAGATTAGTTCCTATATTTGTGACCGGNTTATCTGGTACATTTTTATATGAACTAAGGGAATTATTGGCATATCCTCTATGGATCTTATTTAGGCGTTCCTTAGACGAAGGATCATTTCCATCTATGCTTAAACTTAGTTCCATTACACCGGTATTCAAGACGGGCTCCCCTAGTCTTATTTCAAATTACCGCCCTATAGCTGTACAGTCCCACATATCAAAAATATTTGAATTGCTTATACTTAATGGAATACAAAGACCTGTTAATAACATTTTAATGGAAGAACAGCATGGCTTTCGCCCGGGTCGCTCATCTTCCACCTGTAATCTTGTGTTCACCAACTATATTTTTAATGCTTTCCAAAATCAATTACAAGTAGATGTTATATACAATGATTTCAGTAAAGCATTTGACTCTGTGGATCATACGACCCTTATTACTATTCTTAGACAATATGGTTTTGGCGAACCACTACTTTCTTAGATTAGTTCCTATATTTGTGACCGATACCAATGGGTAAAAGTATTCGGCGTTAAGTCTAATGTATTTTTAGCGTCTTCTGGTGTCCCCCAGGGAGGTCACTTGTCCCCTATTCTATTTTCCTTATTCTTAAACTGTGTGCATAAAGTTTTACACCATTGTCATTTTCTTTGTTTTGCCGACGACATCAAACTATTTATGCGTGTAAGCTCAACCGATGACTGTTTGAAATTACAGGATGACCTTAATAGATTTTCTAAATGGTCAAACTCAATGGGATTGTCACTTAATTTAACCAAATGCAAGGTCTTTACGTTTCATAGAACAAAACATCCTATTGTGTTTCACTATAGTATTACTGCAGTAAATATCTCGCGTGAGTTAAACTCTATTACAGATCTAGGCTTTAAGTTTAGTTATAATCTTGATCCTATGCTTCATATTGATTATGTATGCTGTAAAGCTTTTAAAGCGTTTGGTTTTATTATGCGTTTGGCCAAAGATTTCAAGCAAGGACTTTCACTTAAAGTGTTATTCTGTTCTATAGTCAGACCTATTCTAGAATATGGTAGTGTAGTATGGGATCCTTATACTGCCTTGGGCTCGCTACAGCTTGAGCGAGTTCAGCGAAAGTTCCTACGCTTTGTCAGCTACTCGCTCAACATAGTCTGTCCAAACCACGATTATGCCCCTGTCTCGTATTTGCTTGGCCTATCCTCATTAGTTGAGCGTAGGCGCTATGCTGGAATTAATTTCCTAATTGGTTTATTGAATGGTAATATTGATTCGCCGATCCTGTTGTCCCTCATATGTTTCAGAGTACCTCAGCGCGCAACAAGAAATAATGCTCCATTTGTTGTCCCTCACTGCCTAACTAATTATGCAAAAAATGAGCCACTTAGGCGTCTTATGACTAATACANGCAACAAGAAATAATGCTCCATTTGTTGTCCCTCACTGCCTAACTAATTATGCAAAAAATGAGCCACTTAGGCGTCTTATGACCAATGCCAATGTTGACCCTAACTTTTCATTTTAATTTTTGTATTTTTCTTTATGTTTTATAATTAAATTCATTTTCATTATTTATTTATTTTTTTTTATCTTTACGTTTAATAATTAATTTGCATATTTTTAGTATATATCTTTCTATGTTACAATAACCTAATTTATGTACTTGTATTATTTGTAAAAAGGGCTTCTGCCCGTGAAATTATAAAATAAAATAAAATATGTATGATACATGGTTGTCAGGTCGGTTATGTGGTTTACCTTTTATACGTGTTAAATTATTGAACTATTAGTTGTTTTATATTAAATTGATATTTATTATAAAAATTAAAAAAAAAAGACACAGTAAAATTAATTAAGATTTTTTTACAAAAATAGCATATTTTTTAATAGGACAATTATTTTTACCATGAAGACAAGTCCAGAGATCATATTTTTCTTTTTCAAATTAAAGTATATTACATAAGCTTTAATTTAAGAGATATATATATATACAAGTGTTAGTCTTTCCGGTATATTTTCAAAAGTTGAAAAAGTTAATTTTTTGTGAAAAAGTTGCCATTTTGAAACCCTTTCTATTGGCAGGTAAAGGGTCAAATGTTCACAAAAATATATCTTATGATAGTAACATGTCTAAGGTATCCATAAAAAAAAATTATATTGATTTGTTCATTTTTAAAAAAAGTTATGACAGAAAAAAGCGATAGCAAAATGAGGTCGCGGCACAATATGGACATCGCACAGTTAGGACAAGTATAAATGATATCCGACAGTGATTAGTTAATTGATTTATAATTATAATGTATGAATAAATAATAACTATATTATTTAAATTTAGTATAAAATTGATATTCAATAATTTAGTATTGTAATTTTTACGGAGATATTATAAAAATAATAAAGTATTGTTTATTTCTTTACTTTTAAAAATTTAAAAGGCTTTTCAATAAAAAAATGTTGTTGCTTATAAGAAATTTATAAGTTTTATACACTGGACTACAAGGAACTTTCACCAGAAACAAAAATATACTTTTCTAAATCAACTTTTCGCAATGTGTTTCAAATTAGACTTTCTCTATCACTTCTAAGTTTTAATATTAAAAAATAAGTATTTATATATAAACAATTATGAAGAACAAAAAAAAATTGTTTTAAATTAATAGTGATTTTTAATTTTAATATGTTAAAAATAAGAAAAATGACATATTTAACCTATATTTTTAACCCTTTAAAGTTGATTTTTGTGAAAGTTTATAGTAAAAAAAAAAAAGGAATTTATTATCATGTCTTTTAACTCAACTTGCAAGTTTGAAATTGACATTATTAAATAGAAAAAAATGAAATTGTTAAGATTAATATGTAGTCAGGAAATAGCATATATTACCATATATTTAAATATATAAGTAAAAATAAAACACTTACGTTCTTCTCTTGTAAAGTTAGTAATTTCCATTTTGCAATTTTTACAATGTGTAATATTTTTATGAGTTCCGCAAGAAGTACAACAATTATGGTAACAAGGAAAAATATACCCTACAGCTATTGCTTTATTGCATAATTGACATACCGACATTTTTTTCGTAATAGCTAAAAAAATATAATTTTAAAATTAATACGACTATATTTTTTTCAGTGTAAAGTTTAAATAATAAAAATAATGTGGCTAATTATTTAAAATTAAAAATATTTAACTTAAAATGTTACAAAAAAATTACTAAAATATCGCGGATATGTACTTCGTAAACAATGTTAACATTATCAATGCATAACAACTGTATGTTTACATGATATATAATTTATCATGGAATTATGAGATAAAAGATAATATAATATACAATTAAAAATAAATTGAATACTTACGCTTTTGATTAGAAAAGCTGTTTAATTTCAAGGCTTTAAAGTAAAAAGTGTTAATAAATACATTTTTTAAGACAGAGAAATATGTTGTTTATTAATAAAATACTTACGATATTCACCCAAAGACAAATCATTATCTAAAGAATAAAAATAATTTTGAAAATAAATAAATGTCAGCTTTATCAATACAATCTAAAAATGAAATTGCCTAATTTATAAATATAGTTGACTTTTTTGTTTTTTTTTTTTTATTATCCCTATGGATAGGATAAAAGATTAATTCCACGGCCATTCTGTCATCGTAAAAGACGATTAATGAGGTTGCATCAGGTTGATAGCTGGCGTAAAATTTTGTGAAAGTAGAGTCCTGACACAAAACTTAGGCAGATTGCCTCATTTCAGATGTACGCGGGGACAACAGGCGAGAACAAATAAAATAGTTAAAGACGAAAAAGACCTAAAGAACAAAGTGTTTGATACCAGCCACTTGTATGGTAGCTATTTCAACAGTAATGTGTTGAGGATAACAGGTAATGCTTGTGCATTAACAGTATAGGGGCGTCATAGCTCAATTTTAGACTGGACTCGTATATAAGGGAGAAAGATAGATACAATGTAAGAATAGATACGTGGAATGTTGGAACATTAACTAGTAAAAGTATTGAAGAAGAGATAAGTTAATAATTATTTTGTACAGGAAATTAAGTAGAGGAAGAGAAAGAAAAGGAAATAGGCGAGGACTATAAAATAAGACAATACTAAAACAATTGTAAGGATGATAATGAATTTGGAGATGAAAAAACCCAGCACAGTTGGGTCGCGTTAAAGTGACCACGTGGAATAGTTTGGTCCAGTATAGATGATATCTGACAGGGATTAAATCACTATCATAAAAAACGCTGCGTTGCAAATATGCAAGTAGTGTTTAATTTAAAAAAATTGGTGGATTATTCCAAAAGCTACACGACTTCCTATTTCCTTATTTATATCCCGATTACTAGTTATAAGTGGATTTTTTATCGGCCTGCAACAACAAGGTGGTTTGCCAGTTGCATAATGACTAGCTAAGGTAGCAAGGGTCACCACCACCTAGGCGAAGTGTCACACCTATCAGATATGATTATCGGAACATAGGTTGAATTTAATTTAAAGTTAATTAAAAGTGTAATTTAAGTTAGTATGTCGTTATATGTATAAATGATTACAATACCTCGTGGTTTATTAACCACAACTATAATAATTGAAGTTGTATGTCGTTGATTTGTAAAACATACCTAAATTAAGGAACAGGGAATAAATACACGCGAGTACTTAAGTTACTCTCGCAATAAAACAAATATTACAGTTAAAAGTAATAAGGAAATTTAATTTAATTGTTTAAAAGGACAATTAAGTTAAACATGGACAAAAATACGACATGAAATATCAAAAACCATGTCTACAAATAAAGGCAACAAAAATAAAATAAAATATTTAAACAAAAAACAAATAATATCACAAACATTACGGATGGTATTAGAACACATCCGTTAATGTTAATTGGAAATTAATGAAAAACACCAGGAGCTCCTTAGCGTTGGCTAAAAGAAAAGGGAAACACGTGCTTTCCACACATAAACAAAAATAAGTTAATTTATCATAAAATAAAGTAATTAATATAATACAGATCATCGCATAAATAAAATTATAAAACAGAAAAAGATACTCGGCCTCCAAAGAGACCCATCCGATAGTCTGAATTCTTCGCCGAAAAGACCTGACCGTTCGTCGTTGGCGGCTCTACTCCATCATTGAAAAAAGTGACAATAAAGCAACAAACATGTGCACTCTAACACGGACAATGACTGAAGAAGGAATGGAGAAGAGCCAACACCGATCTAACGGCATTTTCAAATCAATAACGTCCAGTCTTTTTGGGAGGGATCAATATCGGTGAACAATTCGATTTTAATTATATTTATTCTCTTTTGTCGTCTCATCTAGCGGTCAGCGGCAAAAATAATGAGTGGTCGACACCGCTGTGCCAGGAAAAGGTTTTTATGCGTGATACAATAAATAAGTAGACATAACAAAAAATTTTAAAGGGTCCACCTTCGAATTTGTGACGTTACAAAGTTTTATGATTTATAAGAGTAATTAATGAATAAATATATAGTGATATAGTAGGATTAAAAAAAAAAAGTATGTCGAATGAAAAAGGTATATAAATAGTATTTTTCAATGAAAAATTGTATTGATCCATATATTTTTCAATAAGTTATAAATGTAAAATATAACATCGAGAATTTTCAAAAGTTAAGTTGAAAAAATTAATGTCTAGTTTTTATGTTATTTAATTTACAACAATAAAGTGTATTAAATTTTAGTTACTATATGAATAATTTTTGTGTAAAAGTTATAAGTAGAAATATGATTTATAATTTATTTCTAAAATATTAAAAATAACCATTCTTATATTCATGTATATATAGGGTGATTTTTTAATTTTAGAATTTATTTGATTATTTCAAATTTTCAATTAAGTAACTCAAGAGTTCTTATTGTAAAATTTAAGCAGTTTAATTAGCAAAAGGAATTACCGGGTTTTTTAAACAAACTTGGGAATACCGTTTTGGTTGTTTCATTAATACTTCGACTCTCATCATTTATTCTAGAACAAGATCCTAAATAAGAATTTTCATCGATTCTTCTTACTATATCATCAAGATTAATTGGACGCTTTTCTGAAAATAATTTGAATGGAATTGTAAAATATAAACTATTATACAATAATAATTCTTAAATTTGGCTTAATATGTAATTCAATGATTTTAATTTAAGAATAATTTTGCTTTCATTTATTTTTCATTATTATCTAGATCCAATATAATGTTAATATCTTATATGTAAAATGTATAGTTCAACATCTTCAATAGTTGTTGGAAAATTTAGTTTAAATGTTACAAAATATTTAGTAATAATGTTAATTATAATATATGTTATAATTACCCAATCTTAGACATTTGTTTATATTCAAATCACACTTTGGGCAATTTTTCCCATCCAAATCTATAGTACATTTGCTACAAGAAACAATGTCATTACAAGGTTCAAACATAACTTGAGGCTTTTTCGCATTACATATTAAACAAAGAGAATGATTATCTAGGAAAAACAATAATTACCGTGTATTTAGTATTTTAATATTTATATATTAAAATGCATTGTAAACGGTACCTAACGGTAATCTATTTTATTTGTAGTATTAAACTTAAAGAAATGGCGTAATTAGAGTTTCATTTTGAGCAATGATACATAAAAGAAAATTTTTCACATACCCTCCATACGAAAAAAAATGGTATCTGAATATTCCCCAATAATTACGCCAGTAATTTTGCCAAAGATTTAATGTACTAACACATGCGGAAATTTTGGAATAGAAAATTGCTAAAAGTCGTTCAAAAGAGAGTGCGCGGGAGGTGACATGGGATACTTAAACAATTTTAATACATAATATTAAATTAATTAATAAATATGAGTTTTGATTTAAAAAACTCACCATTCCCAGACATCACACATACTGTTTAAAATGAAATATCCAGTTATAAAAACTAATTTTAAGTAAATTTGTTCTTTATGTTATTTTTAATATTGTATTTTAATTTTTTTTATTTAATGATTCAAATATTTCTCATCATACTTACTATCGATGAAGCACATTAATGATGCTATAATTACTTTACTGATTGATAATAGTTCCTAAAATTTGACAACATTTAAGCTTAAAATAAAATATTACGTACAATAGAACTTAAATTTATAAAACAGTTATACTTCTATTTTTTATTATTCATATTTTTTAATTGTATTTGTAAGTTAGATATAGTTTTCTTAAAAAAATACTACAAAAAATGTTTAATTTAATAATTGTTTAAGAAATTTACTTATATATAATCTTAAACAAGATCTTACCATTTTTTAAAACTAAATGTACAGAAGAATGTAGGTGACGTTATATTAAATGAACATGAAAATAATGCAAAAACAGATTAATTACCTTAAGGTAACAAATTTTTATTTAATAAAAAATTCTATATAATGTAAATACAGATATTATTGTTTAAGTTTTTTTGTCAAATAAAATAGTTTCTATTTATAAATTTACTTCGATGTTGAGTCGTACAAGTTTATATTATGTTTACCGTAAAAACGGTAAACATTATATACAAAATAGTTTTTCAGTGGTTGACAAAAACACACTACTTGTAACGGACTCATTTGTAGTGCGCTAATTTTTTTGTAGTTGTATCAAGAGCAAACTACTTTTGTTAGAAATAACGTCAATAAAGTTTTGTAATTTTTTAGTAGTGAAAATTCTTTGTTACTTGCTATTATTTATTATAACACAGGCCAATTTTAAAGGCCTATACAAATGATTAAATTTGTCGGAGAAGTCTCAAACTTCATACAAATTTTTTTTTAATATCATCAAATTATAAAATTTTAGTTTTTTATGATTTAATTATTTAATAAATACTTAATTATTATATAATTATGAAAAATTATTATATAAAAAGATTAGATTTTTAATGCGAGTTTTGTGACAGAAGCCATGCCTTCTTTGCCATAGAAGTCAATGGAGCACTCTGATTGGTGTACTTGACCACACTACTGATCAATAGTAAAGTGATACTTTTGATTGTTATTTTTCGACACGCCCTCTGCCAGACTTTAACCCCCAACGTATCCGTCTCCTAATTTTAACATTACTCGATTGCTCTTTGGATACATATATAGATAGATAACGTCCCACGTCGTTACCGACGTTTCATCATACCTTTACCACGGTATCGTTCGCTCGATGGCTTCGTTTTGCATTATTGCAGTCACGTCGATTACACGAATTTCCCCATATTATAATTGCGGTTACGTTTGCCGTTACTCGTTTCCCATGTGACCTGGCGACATCATTTTATTATCATTTTTTTCCCACGACCTCCGCCTTTTTTTTATAATTTATGTACATTTTTAGAGTTGTTAATATTACGTTAACTGTTCATTGATAAGTATTGGATAACGATAATTATATGTGTTCGTACAATTGTACTTTTAACCCCCACTTCAATTTTATTTTATATAAAAATATACATTATTTTAATGTTTGTTAAACAGTGTCCTAGTTATGTGACTCCGGCACAAACTGTCTTGTATTAATTCAGATAAAAAATTAAAAAGTATAAATTAATCGGTATAATAATGTATGATCATAATAGTATTACATGTTATAATTCATCTATTGTTTTATACATATAGCCTTATATAAACTGTACATGATTGGGTATTTCATGTGTCGGATACCACACGGATTCGTATCACAACTTAAATTGTACAACGGTGGTCAGTCCAAATGCTCTACGTTGACTATACGTTATCTCAGTATAAACTATTCCACAACTCGCTTTTTCACAGCTCTGTCCACGTAAATGGTCTAGCACCGCAACAGTTTTATGATTCTCAACAGCTCATCGTATTCTACGAGTATCCATTTCATGTAGGCATTTTTTTAATCAAAAGTTTATTTTAGAATCGTTCTTTATATATTTTGGATGTTTGAACGTCTGAAGGGTGAAATACGTGCAGTCTATGGCAATACCAATCAGTGTCTTGACCAAAAACAATAGATTGTCTACCACAATACCTTGTAAATCGACTATCATTGAGGTGAGGTTTTCGGTATCTGTTGGTGAGCGGGATTATTAACCGTTAAAAAATCGAACGCTCAATTAACCTTATTTTTTTGATATAAAATTTTTTTAATTTGTTTGATTAATGTAATGAATATTAAATTTAACATGAATAAATAAAATGTACAAAATATTTGTTCTTAATTTTATTTATAATTAAAACTTACATGAAAATATTTAAATACAAATGTAACCTTGATTAATATTGGAGCGCGTCGCTGATGGTTCAGCGGTGGAACGTACACTGACTAGATTTACAATAAAAGATACATTGCTGACCAGCTAAACAAGATAAAAGACCATACTATAGTGTGACTCGCGCTAACATACCGGCCACCATTTTACACTTGTAAAATCAAACAAAATAATTGAAAATATAGTGTACAAACATGATCAAATTCAGAAATAAACATAAATTTAAATAAATAATTAATAATAAACATCAAAATTTTTAGATAAACAATTTTTCCTTTTTAGAAATAAATATAAAATTAAATAAATAATTAATAATAAACATCAAAATTTTTTATACAAACAAATTTTTTTTTTTTAAATAAATATAAAATTAAATAATTAATTAATAATAAAATTAACTAAATAATGAAAATAACATTTGAAAAATAATAATAATTAAATAAGTAAATTAATATCACAATATTCGAATTTACAAAAAAAAAACAAGAATAAAATTAATAAAAATACTTATTCAATTATTTGAAAACCAGTTTTATTTTACATAATATATTTAATGTACAACATTCTACAAACTTAACTACTCCTCATCGAGTGGCAAAGGGCATAAGGTTCGGACTGCCCTCTTGAATTCCCCTCTATCTGTTTTCACCATAGCTACTCTGGGAATATTGTCATTCCCAAAAAAAATCTTTGAAATTCTTCCGAGCCTCCATTGAAGTGGAGGCAAGTTACATTCCTTTATTAGAACCAAATCACCTTCTTTGGGAACAGCTCCCACCGATTTTGTCCATTTTGCCCTATATTGAAGCGTAGACAAATATTCGGTTTGCCATCGATTCCAAACTTGCTGTGTCAATTGAGTTACCCGCTGCCATCGTCTTAGACGATTAGGAGTTATTTTGGTTAAGTCCGGTTCGGGTATTTCAGTCAAAGAACCACCGATTAAAAAATGAGCAGGAGTTAATGCATTTAAATCCGACGGATCGGTAGATAGGGGCGTTATAGGCCTAGAATTCAAGCACGCCTCAATTCGCACAAGAGCGGTATATAATTCTTCGTAACTTAATGAGGCCTCACCAAACGATCTTGTTAAATGTTTTTTAACGGATTTCACTGAACTTTCCCATAGACCGCCAAAATGTGGACTGCGCGCTGGGATGAAACACCATTTGACGCCGAGGGCAGCAGAGCAGCGGTTTACAGCTTCCAAGTGATCCTTAGACTTGAACAGCTCTATTAATTCCTTTAATTTTCTATTTGCACCTACCATATTTGTGGCGTTATCTGAGTACATGTATTTATTCATTCCTCTGCGGGCCCAGAATCTCCTAAGTGCATTTAGAAACGACTCCGTTGTGAGATCGCTGACAAGTTCTAGGTGAACCGCTTTTGACGAAAAACAAACAAACAAAGAGACGTACGCCTTTACCAGAGGCGCGTTTTTTCTAAGTCCACTTTTTATATTGATTGGCCCAGCATAATCTACGCCCGCTGCGAAAAACGCACGCTCGAACGCGTCCACGCGTGAGCTCGGTAAGTTACCCATAATGGGTTGAAATACCATTGGTTTAGATTTGAAACAAGGTATGCATTTATGCACAGTATACCTTGCTATATTTCGTCCATTGATGGGCCAATATTGTTCACGAACAGCCGCTAATAAAGCCTGTGGCCCAGAATGCAGCAATCGAATATGTTCATACTTGAATAGTAGCATAGTGAAAGCTGATTTTGATGGTAGTAAAATTGGATTTTTTCTATCGTTACTAATGGACGCTGAATTATTTAACCGGCCACCAACACGAATTAAACCATTATTGTCAACGAAAGGGCTAAGAAAAAACAATTTACTCTTCTTTTTTATTGACTCTCCTTTATGTAAACATTGTAATTCTTCAGAAAAATATTGAGATTGCACGACTAACAATAATTTTTGTCTAGCCCGATTAGTTTCTTCTGGGTCGATGTAAATAGTGTAAATACATTTTGAATTTGACGACCGCTTATTTCTCACAATTTTTCTCCATCTTAGAATATACGCTGTTATGTTGAGTAATTTAGTTAATGATGAAAACCGTTCCGTGATATCAAACTTTTCAATTTTTGTTAATGTGACTACGAATTGTTTTTTTTCTAAATCATCTTTTACTACTATAATTTTTTGACAATTGTTATTAGGCCAATTTGATTCGTCATGAGTTAGCCACGTTGGACCTGTCCACCATAATTTATTTTCTATTAGTGCTTTTGGACTGCATCCTCGGGATATGATATCTGCCGGATTATCCGTTGAACGTACGTGCTTCCATTGCGCAGCCGTAGAAGTGTTATGTATTTCTCCGACGCGGTGAGAAACAAACGTTTTCCATCGAGAGGATGGTGAATTTATCCATGCAAGAACGATTTGTGAATCTGACCAATACCATATTTTACTTGTACAACAATTAAGTTTTGGAATTAATTTATTGACGAGACGCACTGATAATACGGCGGTACACAGTTCCAGTCGTGCGAGTGAAATAACCTTTAATGGAGCGACTCGCGATTTTGACGCAATAAGTCGAACTATACGCGACCCGTCTGCGTCTTTTGCCATTAAATAAATACACGAACCGTATGCACTGATCGACGCGTCCGCAAAAGCGTGAATTTGCATGTCGCACACGTTGTTACAACCAATTATTCTTCGCGGTATTTTTATTTTTTCGATATCTACTAGTTCGTTACGATACGCTTCCCATTCCCGACTAATGTGTGCGGGCAGCTCGTCGTCCCAATCCGTTTTCAGTTGCCATAGCTGTTGCATTATCTTTTTCGCTGATACTACAACCGGTCCTATTAGTCCGAGCGGGTCAAATATTGTCGCTATAGTAGATAATATTGTACGTTTAGAACTCGATTGTTTACTTGATTCGATGTCATTATATTTGTATTGATAATAATCATCCCATGGACTCCACAATAAGCCCAACGTTTTTATTGCGCTGCCGTCAATATTCATAACATAATGCGGGTCATTACTTATGTTCTTTATAGTTGACAACAATGACGGTTCATTTGATATCCATTTTCTTAATGTAAACCCAGCGCTATCGGTAATTTTTATTATTTGATCTCTCAGTGTTATGGCTTCTTCAATAGTGTTTGCGCCGCCCAAATAATCGTCAACATAAAAATCTGTCGAAATTGCTTTGCTTGCCGACGGATATTTAGTGCAATTCTCATCTGCCAATTTTTTGAGACACGCCGTAGCGATGTATGGAGCACTTGTGGTTCCATATGTAACTGTTGACAGACAATATTCTTTTAATTCTTCGTGTGGTTGAGATCGCCAAAATATTTTTTGCAAAACTCTATCCTTTTTAGCTACCCATATTTGCCTATACATTTTAGCTATATCTGCTGACAGCACGTACTTGTGTACCCGAAAGCGTGCTAAAATACATATAAGTTCATCTTGAATTACCGGCCCTTTCATAAGTATTTGATTCAAGCTTGTTCCTGAAGTGGACTGTGCAGATGCGTCGAATACAACACGGGTTTGTGTTGTTGCACTGTGGTTGCGTAAAACAGCATGGTGTGGCATATAGTATGATATTTCGTTTGTTGATTGTGATTCTTCCATATGATTCAATTTTAAGTATTCATCCATAAATTCAACGTACTTTACACGAAGATCATTATTTTTTCGTAAATTATTTTTTGTAGCTAGAAAACGTCGCCGCGCCATTGCCTTTGAATCACCAAGTAATTCAACGTTGTTTTTCAGTGGGAGTTCAACAATAAATTTTCCCGTAGGTTCACGTTTTACTGTTTGTTCAAAATGCTCGATACAAGACCTTTCTTCAATGCTGAGTTTTTTGTTTGAACCCATTTCTTCTACTTGCCAAAAATTTGACATCAAATCACTTAAATTTACTTGGTTATCAATTAAAATCGAATTGAAAAATGTTTTTGTAGTTGTTTGTGCTAAACTGGACACAGATCCCGCAACTATCCAG